GGGCCGAGCCGAGCGGGGGCAGGTAAAGGGTCCCCCCGAGCACCACAGAGCACGGAGCCCGACCCGAGCCAGGGGCGGTGGCGTTCGTCCCCGCGTCCCGGGCACCCCGATCTCCCCTTTGCAGCCCCAGCCCCGTCCTTTGCCCCCCGCCGGGCACCCACAGGGGGGGGTCTCACAGCAATCCCACGCCGTATTTACTCTGTGGTCATTGCAGACATTTTTTTCCTCTCCCCTGTCAAACCTTGGTAAGAAAGTTTATCTGAATGCAAGTTCAAGGCTCTCTCGTATTTATCTAGCAATCAATAAGGGCCACATATTTCCCACAGTCCCCAGAGCCGGCTTTCAGAAAGGGACTATTGTCTGAGAAAAGCCTCGCACACCTGATCTGAACCGGGATAAGTCCTGCCTGACACCTGCGGCACCGGGCCGATGAGAAGGGTCTACGGGCTGGGGGAAGTCGGGGCGCATCGGAGCCCGGCTCCTCCGCTCGACTCCAGCCAGGGCTGATCCGCGCTGGACGCGACGGCAGCAGAGCCTGCTTGGTCCCGACCTCCTCAGCCCAGTTTGAACCCCAGCAGGATGCTCCCAGTCTGACGAAGCTGTCCCAGGGATGAGCGTGGCCTGGCTGGTGCCACCAGGCGTTAGACAAGTGCTCACCCGGCACAGCCAGCCCATCGTCCAGGCTGGTCACCCAGCAAGCGGGTTCTTCGGAGCCCATGAAGGGGCTGGGACAGGGTTTTCGGTGCTGGAGGGCTTGTCCTCAGCTGCCCACGTAGGTGCAGCACAGGCAGCGGGACGGGGTCTCCGCTACGTCCTCCTCCAGCCCCGCGTCCGGGGTAGAAACAGCCCCGCTCCACCTCCGCGCGCCCACCCCTGCGCACCCTCGGCCGCGTCTGCCTGGCCCTTACCTGCTTACTGGAAGACATATTGGTCAGCGTGCTGATGCTGCTGGTATCCGTCACCACCATCGCCGAGGGGAAGCGGGAGGTGTGGGAATACTGGGGAGGCTCCTGTTTGTGCGCGTACACTGCGGAGAGCGGGGAGACAAGCAGCCGTCACGGAGCAGCCCGAGCGCCGGGGCAGAGCAGCCGAGCGCCGCGTTACG